GGGGGGGGGGGAGGTAAGACAGTAGCAGAATTATCAAGGAATTCGCATTCTCATCCTTATCTTGAAATTGCAATATAAGTTGGCAACATTTCAAGATGGTTTTTGCAATCTAAAATTCCTTCTCAACAGGTTTTAGGCCGGGATTTGTTTTGATTTGACAGTTAAAACATTAAAACATAACTTTTTAAGCCATTAGATGTATCTGAAGTTTTTTTTCACGAACAGTCACTTTTCTTAAGTAAGAAATGGACTGAAATGTCCAATATAGTAAATAGAATAAAGTATATAGGCCCTTAACATTTCATAGATCTAGCTAGATATACTAGATTTCTCACTGTTACCAACAGGGTTATATGTAAATATATATAGTTACACCCCCCCCCCTCATCAATATACATTGACATAATAGATTGGAAAAATAAACAGTTTTCATCAATTCAGTTAGTTGACTATATGGTCAAGAGAAGCTTACTTTCTCGGTGGATGTTAATTCACAGGCGAAATTAAAACAAGATAAAAATAAATCAGTGTAATAAATGTCGTACTCTTAAAACTTTGTCCAGAACTGTATCAGTCCAGGTACAACCTGTTAGCTATAAATGTCAATCAGGACACAAACTCTTAAGCGATCAATGTCAAACCAAAGGGCACGATATTATCGGCTCTGAATGTCAATGCGAACACAAGCGTAGCTATCAAACAAGCTCTTTAGAGGTCAATGCCAAACCAATTGGCACGATCTTATTGGCTCTACGTCGTCAATACGGACACAAGCGTAGCTATCAAACAAGCTATTGATCGATCTTAAGGCACGATTTCAGCTCGTATGTTTCAATACGTAGCTCATGTTTATCAATATCGTGTTACACGATATTACAATTACACGATATTTATTACATCAGAATCGATAGATAAACACAATGAGTGGTGCAAATGATACACAACATCATTCTTTATTTGGAAACTATAATGATGAATGCATGGAAGGGGAATTGTTAGTTTTCTACAGGTAACAAATTCGAATTCTGATTTAGAATTTACAGTAATAAAAACATTAATGTTGGGTGGATTCATTGAATTTTATAAACTATTTTATTGTATTGTTTAATGGATTTCGTCTTATATGGAATAAACATGGAATTGGTGGGAAGGAGAGGTAGGGAAGAAAGAAGAGAGAGAAGGATGGGAGTAGGGAAAGGGAGGGAGGGGGTAAAACCCACGCCTAACAAGGTGGTTGATAACGGTTAAAACTGGCGCCTAACAAGGTGGTTGATAACGGTTAAAACTGGCGCCTAACAAGGTGGTTGATTATGGTTAAAACTGGCGCCTAACAAGGTGGTTGATAACGGTTAAAACTGGCGCCTAACAAGGTGGTTGATAATAGTTAAAACTGGCGCCTAACAAGGTGGTTGATAATGGTTAAAACTGGCGCCTAACAAGGTGGTTGATAATAAAACTGGCGCCTAACAAGGTGGTTGATAATGGTTAAAACTGGCGCTCAATAAGGTAGTTGATAAAGGTTAAAACTGGCGCCTAACAAGGTAGTTGATAAAGGTTAAAACTGGCGCCTAACGAGGTGGTTGATAAAGGTTAAAACTGGCGCTTAACAAGGTGGTTGATGATGGTTAAAACTGGCGCCTAACAAGGTAGTTAATAATGGTTAGAACTGGCGCCTAACAAGGTAGTTCATAAAGGTTAAAACTGGCGCCTAACAAGGTGGTTGATAATGGTTAAAACTGGCGCCTAACTAGGTAGCTTATAATGGTTAAAACTGGCGCCTAACGAGGTGGTTGATTCTGGTTAAAACTGGCACCTAACAAGGTGGTTGATAATGGTTAAAACTGGCCACTAACAAGGTAGTTGATAAAGGTTAAAACTGGCGCCCCTAACGAGGTGGTTGAAAATGGTTAAAACTGGCGCCTAACAAGGTAGTTGATAATGGTTAAAATTGGCGCCTAACAAGGTGGTTGATAATAGCTAAAACTGGCGCCTAACAAGGTAGTTGATAATAAAACTGGTGCCTAACGAGGTGGTTGATAATAAAACTTGCGTCCAACAAGGTGGTTGATAATAAAACTGGCGTCTAACGAGGTGGTTGATAATAAAACTGGCGTCTAACGAGGTGGTTGATGATAAAACTGGCGTCTAACGAGGTGGTTGATAATAAAACTGGCGTCTAACGAGGTGGTTGATAATATAACTGGCGTCTAACGAGGTGGTTGATAATAAAACTGGCGTATAACGAGGTGGTTGATAATAAAATTGGCGTCTAACGAGGTGGTTGATAATAAAACTGGCGTCTAACGAGGTGGTTGATAATAAAATTGGCGTCTAACGAAGTGGTTGATGATAAAACTGGCGTCTAACGAGGTGGTTGATCATAAAATTGGCGTCTAACGAGGTGGTTGATAATAAAATTGGCGTCTAACGAGGTGGTTGATAATAAAATTGGCGTCTAACGAGGTGGTTGATAATAAAATTGGCGTCTAACGAGGTGGTTGATCATAAAATTGGCGTCTAACAAATAATGAGGCCTAAAGCAAACAAGAATGGAGAAGAATGGTACCATAACACGATGTCACGACCAGATTTCCTGACAAGTAAACCAAACCAAAACCAGGATGGCGCCTATTTTAGACTGGGTTGGCGCCTAACCAAGAAAAACTAAGCCAATTAAAAACCAGAACTGGTTTTTCACACTATCATCGCTAATTGCTTTTTATCAAAACATGCAAAGTAAAGAATGCGGGAGAGGAAAAAACAGGAAAATGTAACATTGTGTCCAAAACATTTTGATTTTCGTAAAATTAAAAAGAAATTGCGTGAAAAAAAGTACAATTAAATCTGCGAACTTTTTTTGTTATTGTTTTGTATAAAGAGAAAATTCTCAATTAAAAGTTGAAATAGTTTAAGGGAGCGAAGTGCTTAAGTATATATTTCAACTGAACGATGTTCTCCTTATCATAAAGGATACTGAAGTGTGGAATGCAACTATGAAGGGGCGGGGGGCTACGATGAGTCACAGGAGACACAGACATTTGTACCTGTGCAATTTTGTTAAAGGACCATCAACAAATTCAAAACATTAAGTAGTTATGGCCTGGAGTAAATCTAATGAATGGCAAAAAAGTATAGTTGAACTAAGAAGAACAAGCTGAACCACATATCTCCACTTCAAGTTCAAGAGAAGTGGTTCAATATAGGTCAAGTAGTTCAACTACTTAGTGTTATTTATTAAATTATGTCCTTGAACTCTTCTTATCCAAAAATTCATCGGGCGGAGCATATTGAATTTAAAATCTGTATGACTGTGTGTCCATTGTTAAATCTGTATTAAACATGTGCGATTAATAATAGACTGAACGGATGGGGGGGGGAGGGGGAGTTGAACAAGAAAGATCAGGAATAAAAAGGCCCGGCCATATCTCCGTCTTCATATTTATTAATTTTATTGTTTTAAATACTCTGTTTACAATGCAGTGCCTTAAATACAATTTTAATTATTATAAAGCGATGCAAGACTGAAAAACAAAAGTCTAAAAATGGGTAAGGTGTATCGTGGAAAAGGCTGAGCAACGTTCTGTCAGATTTTCAAAAATGAACGAAAGATTCCGATTCCGTTAACACGGCATAAATCGTTTATTTTGGAAATAACTGTTTTTGAATAAGGAAAACAAAAAAAAACTTAAAATTGCATTCAACTTTCATAGAATAAATACAATCTTTACGTACGTTTCGATAGTTTTGAATGTTGTGTTCTCATATAACCCAGCTTAGGCGATATTTTTAATACATTCTTTCGCCGTGAAAAAATCGTTAATCGCCATTGATATAATTAAGATCGTTAACGATCAGTAACTTTAAGAACGAACGGAAAAATTGTTAACTGAACGGATAGATACCTGAAATGTTAACAAAAGGGTTAAAAAAGTCTAAACCTGCCCAAGCCCTATAACCTCGAGGCCTTAATGGAACTTGACTTTATTCTTAACTTATACATTTGTTTATTAAAAGTCAATATTATTAATGAAAAAATTAGTTTTAAGAAGTTGAAAACAATAATGACGACAGAGATAGTTTTCAAGATATATTTTCAATAATTTAAGATTAAATGATTAAATGCGTCAAAAACAATTTAATTTGATCGGATTAATAAAAAAACATTCAAAGATAGAATTTTCCGCCCTTTTTTAGCAGCATTAATAAAAATCGTGTTTTATAAAGAAACTAAGTGAGTGAGCGAGCGAGCGAGGAGTGAGTGAGTGAGTGAGTGAGATAAGTAAGTAAGTAGGTAAGTAGGTAAGATGGATTAGGGATGAATCAAAATCATGCTACAACTATAGATAAACTGGCGCCTAAC